TGAGCCAGCAAGAGGGGTGAGGATGGAGAGCATACCCACCATTCCGGGACGGGCTAGTTTCTGCTTTGTCCACCACTCAGCTCCCCCTGCACATCCAGTTGTCTCTGCTGCAGGGGTCTCACCCCTCTCGCCACCTCCTCTCCCAAATACACCCCCACATACACCCCCACATCCGCCCCCACCTGACGCAGGAATCCTGTATAGTTGGCCCATGGTGGACTGAAACCAGCAACCAGCTCAGATCTTGCTGAGGGATAGAGGGAGTTGTCAACACTCACATGGTCTGGCAGCTGAAACCCATGCCTTGTAGGGACACTGGACAATTTGGGCTTACTAAGCTATTGGTCTGCAGATACATGTGCCATGTTGGTTGTGCCACAAATGACATTAGCTGTTCCATCATTGACTCTATAAGTCCTTTGCAAATTACCTCATCAATAAATATATAATTTTCCTATATCATCCCAAACGTGTTCAGGTCTTTGGATAGCAACACATGTTTATCTCCTTTAAAGGTATTAGCCATAGGCCCTCCCTGGTGGTGCAGCGGGTTAAAGCACAGCATTGAGAAGCTAAAGCCACTTCTGCATGAGTTCAATTCCCACCTGCCCCGGAGGTGACCACATGGAATGGCAGACCTCTCCTGACCCGCCCACTGCTCCCCTCAGCAGTGTACTTTGTAGATCTGCCTGTTCTGCTCCCCACTCTGTCTCTGGTGAAGCCTCTTGCCGCCCCTGAGCCTCTGGCCTGTACCCCAGCTCTGTATGCACAAATAAATAAATCTTTAAAAAAAAGGTATTAACCATATGTTTAGAAGTTTAGAAGTAATGGAGTAAACATGTTCACAACTCCAGCTAATTTTTGAGAAAAACATGTTTATAGGCAAAGGAATGTTTTTGATGAAAACTGGTTTATCACTTTTAAGCCCAGCAAACAGATTTTTTTTTTAAAATTCATAACTGTTGCAATGTAAGGTGAGGCCTCCTCCATAAAAATTCAGCTCACATATTACAGAGAATGGAGTACCCTCAACATCTATTGTTTTTTTCAGTAGGTATTTAGATTCATTGGCATTACATAGTACACCTGGCTTCTCATCCTAGAAGCAGGGTCGTGCCATTTTCACTTTGAGCTACAGAAAATACTTAGGTCAATGGTGAGCAGTTGTGTTGGTTTGAGTCTGGATTTTTCTGGGTACAATGCTCCATGAGGATGAGGGGTGTTTTTCTTAGTCACAGCAGTATTCTTAGCTCTGAGAGCAGAATCTGAAATGAGGAAGGTGATCAGTATGCATTTGCAGAATGAATGAATGGGAGAATTATTCTTTTAACAGACACCTATCACTTCCTCACCTCCTCTCTTCCCCATCCCAGGAGTTCAAAAGTCCATAAAGATCTTACTTATGGAGGCAGTATGAATGGAGGCCTACGTGAGGTCACGCACAGCTAGTGCTTAACACACTCAATGAGGGCCCTTCCTCATTCATGGCACAAATGGTTAGAGTGCAGCACTGTGAAGCTAGCCACAGCCACTTCAGCAGGAGTTCGATCCCTGGCCAGGGAGGTGACCCACATGGTGCCACAGACCTCTTGTGTTTCGCCCACTGCTCCCCTCAGCAGTGTACTACTCCAGACTGCCTCTTCTGCTCATTGTTTCTGGTGAACCCCTCACGGCCCCTGTACCTCTGGCCTGTACCCCAGTTCAGTATGCATAAATAAATAAATCTTGAAAAAATAAAAATAATGTGCTTAATGAGGCTTACTTATAATACAATAATAACTGTGATTTTGAGATTTGGACAAATTATCGACCTACTGTCCTCCCATGGACATGCTTAGAAAATTAGCCCCCACACTGTTGGTTTGCTAGCCTGGTTGTTTAAAAGTGCCATAAATTGGGTCGCTCAGAACAACAGAGACCTAGTTTTGGAAGCTGGAAGCCAGAAAGCAAGTGGTCAACAGGGTTGATTTTTTCAAAAGACTGAGGAAGAATCTACTCCCTGCCTCTTTCCTGGCTTTTGGGGTTGTCAGAAGTCTCTAGCGTTCTTTCACTGGTAGATTGCTTTGATTTCCTCCTCTGTGATCACATGCCTTCATATAGAGATGACAGTGATTCTGGATGGAAAGCTTACTTAAATTGAAGATGACTGCATCTTAACTGGAGTGCATCTGCAAAGACCCTAAATAAGATCACAGTCATAGAATTAGGACATGAGGCATATCTTTTTTGGGGACACAATTCAACCCACAGCATCCGCTTATCACACTTATGCTAGAGAATCTGTAATTTTCAGTTTATTCTTTTTTTGCCATTATCCTCTGCCTAAGATGGGTTATGTAATTTCCTCCAAAGCTCAGACATTCATTTCTTTGAACTGCTAGTTCTGTGGTTGAGATGCAAAGGTGGAGGGGTACCTTGTTTTATGTAAGACTTTCACTTTAGTGATAGAGTTTAGTCATTAGTTCAACACACAAATTTTGCGGTCCTGTGGAAGGCTGTGTTGGTCCTGGGATAGAGTCAAGGAAGAGACCATTCCTGTCCTCAAGAACCTGAGTCTGGTGGCAGAGATACAGGTAAAGAGCTAGATTTTAAATGCTGTGCTAGCCCAGAAACTGTAGGGAGCTGGAAGATCAGAGAGGTTGACAGTCACTGCAGGAGAGAAGGAGGTTTGAGGAGAGGCTACTCAAAAGACCTCAGAGGAACAGAGAAGGCTCCCTGGATGCACAGCACGGGCAAAGGCGTGTAGGAGGTACATACCTGGAAGGGCAGGAAGAGCAGCAGTGAGAGGAAGAGAGCTGGAGAGCCTCTGCAGAGAGCACGCATGGAAGGTGGCAAGAAGCTTGGTTGGGGACATGGACTCTGGGTACCAGGAGGGGAGGCACAGGAAGGAAGGCTAGAGGGCCTTAGACTGCTGGCCTAGTCTGGGGCACTAGGTTTCCCAGAGAAACAGAGCCAATAGGAAGTTTCTGCTACATATCTATATCTGATCTACATATGTCTGTTGAAATTTATTAGAAGGAATGGGCTCATGTGGTTACAAAGGCTGAGAAGTCCCAAGATATGCAACTGGCAAGCTGGATACAGCAGATGTGTTCCAGTATCTGAAGGTCTGAGAGCCAAGACTGCTAACTGCGTAAGTTCAAGTCTGAAGGCTGGCAGGATCCAGACCCCAGAAGAGCCAATGTTTCAGTTTCAGTTAGAAGACCCAAGAAAGAATAATATCCTAGCTCAAGTAGTCACACAGGGGGAGTTCCCTCTTGCTCAGCTTTTTCTTTAGCTGATTGGGTGAGGCCCCTCTCATATTGGAGAGTGCAATCTGCTTTACTCAGTCTGTCCATTCAAATACCAATCTCATTCAAAAATAAGTCACAGACACATCCAGAATAAAGTTTGACTAAATTTCTGGATAACCCATGGCCCAGTCAAGTTGATATATAAAATTAATAACAGCAGGATATGGCACAAATTAATTGAGATTAAGATTCTTATTCAGAAACCTGAGGGTCCATTCCCACACCTATGAGGTCTAGGGAACCAATTGCCTGCTGTTTATAAAAAGCTGAGGATGCAAACTGGTTTGAATGGGGCAAACTTGCCTGCAATAGGACGGTAAGTCTGAGAGAAAAGTAACTTAGTGCAGATCTTGGGGAGACTTTTACCCACCAGGAATGGCTGTTCCCAGGCCACTGCTCTGGGAGTCTGGGCTGAGCCAGTTGAGGGCCCTGCTCCTAAATGCCTTGGGAGAGGAAGGACAGCAAAGCCCACCAAAGAGCAGAGTTTGAGCACAGGATATACTTACCAGGGAGGTCTGGCTCTGTATGGAATGCAAATGTATGCAAAATAGCAGGTGGGCCCATGAGCTCTGGCTGTAGTTTCCTACTCTAACAGCAACATTGGACTGATTCCTTGCTGGTCTCTTGGGTTTTGTTTCTCCCAGGGCACTCCCCTGCAGGCCTGGACAGAGAGTATGCATTAGGTTCATTATGGGAGAAAGTTGGGACTGCACAGAAGTGACTGGAGAAGTGGACAATGCTGGGTGGACAAAGCTGGGGAATGGGCTTCAGGGCGGCTGCTTATCTGTTTTCCTTCCTTTTTTTATTTCTTTCATTAAGTAGTTATTTGCTGAGCATCTCCCACAAGCCAAGCACTCCGAGAGGTGAACAGTGACAGCGAGTCCAGCGAGGTCTGGTCAGTGAACAAATAGCATTGATAGCAATGAAATTGCTACTACTTTGATAGAAAAGTGAAGGCATGATGACAGCATTCACTGAGGGCTCCACCCCAGTCTGGGTGCTGGCCAAAGTTGCACAAATGGCAACAATCAAAGCCCCAGTGACTTGACTAATGATTCTTGGGTCTTGCCTGCTGTGCTGTAAAAAGGAGATAGTTAACTGCATCCCAGGGTGAGTTGTGATCAGATACTTACAGAGACTGCACTTTCCTGAACATGTCTCTGACTTTGGGAAAATCCCCAGGGGAATAGAGAGGTCTAATACTGGAATATAGGTTGCTTTCAACAGCATGAACACACAGAGACAAAAACAAGACACAGCTCACAGACACAACACACACATGCACAGCAAAAACAGAGAGTGTCACCTCACCTGGCACTTAGTAAGTGCTCCAGGCTGTAGGGCACAATGAAGGGAATTGTGCAGAAATACCATCCCAGGCACAGACTCCCTTTAGTCCACATATGCAGAAAATCAACTTCAGGAAGATACTATTCTTGATCTCTCCCACCCCCAACTTAAAATTCATATGAAGGGAGGCCTGAAACTAATTAACAAGAAATAATGAATTTGCTTCATCATCTATTATAGTGGCAAGCTGGCACCAACCAGTTCCTCTATGATCCAGGCAGACGGATAAAGGAGAGTCCTGGAGCCCTGTGGCTTATTCAGGCCTTTAATGATCTTTTTATACCATTTGTAGTGAGGCAACCAGGTGAACCAGGTGAAGGGTAGGCAGGGAGGTCTGGGGGCCGTGAAGCGGCAGGCCTCCTAGCTCAGGCCAATCTTTCTCTCTCTGGGTTCCCTGGCATTCTCTTATGGCCTCTTCGGTGGTCTCCTCTGCACTCTGCCCCACAGTCTTCTGCGTCCTGGCCACTGCTGCCACCCTTAAACGCTCAGTCTCCCAGCTCAGCTGTGCCCACTCGCCAGGCCCACACCCAAAACCGGCCCCGCCAATCCGCAAACCTGCAAAGCCAAAAGGGGCAAACATAGATGCTAACGGTCAGAGGGAGCATAAAATCTGATTACTTTCATTTACAAATTAGTCCCCATATTTGTCTTTTTAGCACTGATTTAGGGCTAAGGCACTAGGCTACATGCTGGTGGGGAAAAAAATCAAGATCTGAAGTGTCCATTCAGTTTGAAGAGTCGGGCAGACAGAGCAGTTTGGCACTGATAGCTGTGCTCTCTCTTTCTCTCAGGACTGAGACTCAATGTCTGGGTGGGAGCTGAGCCCCTTTTAGGCAGATCACCAGAGGGAAGACTTGACTTCCTGTACCTGATACCGGCTTTGGGGCTCCAGCGCTCAGCCCCAGAAGCTGCTTGCAGCCATTGAGTCAGTGAGTGGTGGACATTTTTACCGCCAGCACTGGTGGTCCCAGTGGGTCTCAGGCTGCAGGCAGAGGCCGGCAGTGATGGTGGACAACAGCAGTGGTTCTCTGACCATGTCATTTCCGCCCCCCCCCCACCCAGGCCTATAGTCCCTGGACCCCCAAGGGACCAGTTCCAGCCCCGTGGCTCCCTCTAGCGGCAGGCAGTACCGAGGCCTCAGGATTGGGTGCCTGGATTGCGGAAGGGCTCCAGCAGGAGCGAGCTACGAGCTGATTGGTGAATGATACTCTGAGCCACAGGATTGAATAAACGGTCCAAACAGACTTGCAGGTGGGGGCGGGACCCTGAAAGGGGTGAATAGGCAGGCGGGGCACCAGCTTGGGACTGGCCTGCTCCTGGCCTCTGAGGAAAGAAGACAAGCCGAGAAGCTTTGCAGAGGCTGGGCCAACTGCACCTGCCTTCTACCGGCCTCTGACACTCTGACCCCACCTGGACCTGGCGTCTTAAAGAGTTGTTGGTTGTTAGTGTGGGCCAGCAACTGACAAAGAACTGCTAACACTGGCGGTTTAGACATTGCAAGCTCCTAGTGACCAGTGGAGATGGGCACTACTGGCCAGTGCTGCGCGCGGCGTTGATAGGTGTCCGGCACTCTGTGACCTGGTCACATCCCAGAGCTGGTAAGCATTCTTCATGGCCTGGCACCACCTCCCTGCACCGCTGCCACTACGCGCCTGTTCCAGCGTCTGGGGCTGTCTGTCCTGACCTTCAGAGGCTGCTGCAGCGTCATCTAAACAGTCCCGCCAACTGAGCACCTCCAACTGCTGTCAGTTGCACCTTGGCCTGCTGCCTGCTGGCTGCCCCCAGCTCTAGGCCCTTGTTGGTGGGATGGCGCCATCTTGGGAAGCGGCTTTTTGTTTGGGACTTCTGGACACTGACAACACTACATGAGGTGAGGGAGCCAGCCACTTTTGGCCTTAATAACTGTTTTCCCTTTTTGTTAAATAAGCTCCTTTGTTGTGCCCTAAGCCTGAGTGATCTTGCACTGTGCTCACACTCGAAGAACCCATGCCCCGTGCCTGTCCTCTACTGGACAAGGATGGCTATAGCCCTTTATAGCACTCCTTCACTCTGACTCTTGGCTCTCATGTGGTTCCCTTACCTGAATCCCAGTTGTTCAACTGTCCTTGAAATTCCCTTAGGCTAGCCTTCCAAAAATTATTTTTTATTTTTCTAAAATGGGTTTTTATTATTCATAACAAAAGCAATGTTAGCTGATACTCACTGGCCAAGGTGAATTTGCAAGGCAAAAATAATGTACTTTCCATTTTTCTAAAATTATTTATTACGTAGAAGAACTAGGGTGCAGTCCAGAGGCATGGCAGGGGGTGAGAGGATTCACCAGAGACAGAGTGGGGACAGAATAAGTGGATCTACTGAAATACACTGCTGAGGGGAGTTGCAAGCAAGAAGGGAGAGGTCTGCTGGGGCATATGTAGATCAGCTCCCTGGTCAGGGATCGAACTCCCGCCACAGTGCTGGTAGCACTGAGACTTAACCACTAGGCCACCAGGGAGCCCCCAAAAGACTTTTCAAAGCCAACTTTTGATTATTTTGGGAGGTCTAAAGTTGAATTGCACAAATTATGTCCAAATTCTTGGCCTTACAAAATTTGCAATTCTTCCACAATAGCCTCAGCTTGGTCATGGGGTTATTTTTCTAGAGGCCAGGCAGGAAGCTGCCTCTGACAAAGGGGAGCCAAGAGACCTCTGCCACCCCTGCTCTGACAGGGGCATCCTGGCTTCGGCATCAGTGGAGCCTGGTTGTTGCGGGAATGGTTGGGCCTGTGGGTGGGCCAGTGCTGGGTAAAGGGCACAAGGGAGAGAAAGAAACAAGGACGGGCCTGATCCCCACCAGGGGGCTGTCCTGAGAGCGCGTCCTCTGCCAGGACCTGAATTCGAATGTCCTGGGAGCTCAGGTCCAGTTACAAAGACCCCGTGGCATGCTTGTCTGTCTTGCCCTGTTTCTGAAACATTTTCAGAATGTACTGGTCAGAAGGCAATGATAGCCTCTCCCTGGGAACGCAGCAGGAAAACAGAACAACATGTATTCTGGTGCATTGTAAATTTAATTAATTTGCCTGAGAATATTTCAATAGCTTTCTCCTCATATGAATGAAATCCACATGATTTCCAATCTGTTTCTATGGTTTCCGCTCTCCGCTTAGATACATTAATTAGCTTGTCAGTTCATTATGGATGTTGGCATCTTTTTTTCCCTCCTTCAAATCTGAGTCCATATTAATTTAGTTTTGTTTTCAGCAGTGTTTAAAAATAGAGCAAAATTATTTTGACTAGCATACAATCAGGCCTGTAGGCATTTTAGGGGTTTGTCACAGAAGTCTAGATTTTCATTGCTTTTCTTTTCTAAGATGAAGGGTGAGGCTGTGATCCTCTGTTTTACCTTGCAGCGGAGGTGAGTCAGCTTCAATTTTCTCTATAATATTCAGTTTCACTTAAAACCCTTGACTCTTTGGCCTGCCAGGAAATCACATGCTCTAAAAATCATCAGGACTCTCCTGAGAGTTGACTGAGGCAAATGTATCTCTATGAAGGAAAGATTAGTTATGCCCTTTTTCTCTAGTTATTAAAAAGCTTGAAAACCCTACTTCACTTATTCCAAGACCCTGGGGGGTTGTCATTTAATAGGGCTACAAAGAGCTGATGTTTCCATCCATCCCAAGCATTCTCCTTGGGTTGTTCAGCCACACCCCAGCACATCAGTGCTGGGCTTAGCTCCCAGGGGTCACTGAGGGGAGAGGAAGTAAGGGGAGAGGAATTGGTCTGATGTCTCTGGTTCCTTGCCTTATTTTATTCCCAGGATGGAAACACTCAAACCCCAGCCAGATTTTTGGTGCATCTGGGAGAACTTCTAGAAAGTATAGGTACCTGGGCCCCAGCCCAGACCAGCCCATGCAAACTGAATATCTGAGAGTGGAGTCCAGATGTTAGTATATCTTTAATACCTAATGGGCAGCTGGATTTGGAGCATTAACCATTGGGATGTTATGTGTTGGATCGTTGGATTGTTGGATGTTATGTGTTGGATTGTGTACCACCCCCCTCAATGTTGAAGATCTAACTTCCATTAGCTCAGCATGAGCTCATCAGGGTGTTCCTCAACCCAATAGAACTCCTGCCCTTATGAAAAGGGGGCATTTAGGTAGAACATATGCAGGGGGTCTGCCACATGATGAAGGCAGAGAGCTGCTGATGCCTCCACAGGCCTAAACTAGCAAGGATTCTAGGCAAACTACCAGAAACTGGGCGAGAGGCATGGGGCAGATGCTCCCTCAGAATCTTCAGAATGAACCAGCCAGAACCTCGGCCTTGGATTTCTGGATTCTTGAGCAGACAGTACATTTCTCTTCCAAGTCACCCAGTTTGTGTTATAGCAGCCCTAGGGATCTTCACAAGAGATCATCCTATGCATGGGAGGACCAGGGAGCTGCTTTGGGGTCACATTTGGATGTGTGCATACCAGATAGCATCCCTCAGAGACCACCACCTCCCCAGTCCTGGCTCTTGTCCAGAGTGGGCTGCTGTATAAAGCCTGTGCTGGGCGTTGTCTTCTCTGTCCATCATCCCAGCCACACCCGGCCTACTCAGTCCTGTCAGTTCTCTGCTGCCAGTCTCCGGTTTTGCCCTGGAACTAGACCTTTCCTTCACTCCTTAGGAAATAATATCTGAATTCTATGCTCCCTGCTCTAGCTGTTGACTCCAGCAGCTCTTTGTACTGGCTCTACCTACATGCTTTCTCTGTTCCTAAAACCTCAGCAGAGGTTGAGCTCTGGTTTCCCACACACTGGATATTGAACAGGACCCCAAATGCCTGGGGCTCTCCTTCTCTTAGGGACTGGATCTAATATTTGGAGATGAAACATTCTCAAACCTACCATGTTGGTTCTGCCTGTTGGCCCCTGGCTGAGTTTGTTTAAATTTGTCACATAGATCTGAACATAACTTTCTTCTTATGACAAAAAAAAAAAAAATTGTAGTGACTGGTACTGCAAGCTGTATTCTCTGAATTGCTGTCCCTCAGAGAACTCTTCATGAAACCTACATGGGTGAGGAATGGGATGAAACAGAAGCCATTTCTATAAAGGGCTTACCTTATTCATTAACAATAACCAGAATGACAATGAAGTGTCAAAACACCATTTTAGGAAATTCATGACATGAGAAAACTAAGATAACCTGTAATATATTTTTTCAAATATCCAGATAGAAAATAATGAGCTCAGTTTGCCATCTAAATGTTTATGTTTCTAAATTTGGAATAGAAGACTTGTAGCCCTAAAATTTCACTTCATACCTGTTTTTTGTATTGGAACCTCTATCTCCCCATTTGTCTTCAGCTGGGTCTGAGTGGTGACCCCTTATCTGGCATCTGCTTGGGGCCCTGGCTGGATAAGTGGGCCACAGAGATGTACAGTTATGCCTTCCTGACTTTAGGTATTGCCCTCCCACCCCCACCTCAGATTGGTCAATGAGACACAATTCTATCTGCTTTGGTTTGTACAGGCAGGTGTCTGCTTAGACTTCCAAGCCAGCCTGGCTTAAATTCACCTTCTTTCTCCCCCAGGTCACCTGCTGAGGCCTGAGCAGTTTGGTCAAGTTGCCTGCTATAGGACACTGGCATGCAATCAACTTCAGAACCAGCAGGCCACACTCCTACAATTATTTTCTATTTTGGGTCAGATCATCAAACACATACATCTTTTCTTTCTTTCTTTCTTTCTTTTTTTTTTTTAAGATTTATTTATTTGTTCATACAGAACTGGGGTACAGGCCAGAGGCTCAGGGGCAGTGAGAGGCTTCACCAGAGACAGAGTGGGGAGCAGAACAAGCAGATCTACGAAGTACACTGCTGAGGGGAGCAGCGGGCGGGTCAGGAGAGGTCTGCCATGCCATGTGGTCACCTCCGGGGCAGGCGGGAATTGAACTCATGCGGAAGCGGCTTTAGCTTCTCAGTGCTGTGAAGCTAAAAACCCGCTGCGCCACCAGGGAGGGCCAAACATACATCTTTTCATTTTGTGTAGAAGAAGAAATAAAAAAGCAGAT